TGGTACTGATCCAGCATCCCCTTAGTTCTGCGCTAATTACTAAATCACACAAAAGAAAGCAAAAAGCGCCGAAGCTCATTAGCTCAACGAAATTGAAGAGTTGTTAATTTGATCCAAGGTCGGATTGAAACTTCCGAGACGGAGACGAAGAATCAACTCAGATTCAGCTCGCTCTCATCTGGAATCGGGAATCTAGGGTTTCAGAGAGAAAGGGAGAGATTGAATTGAAAATAGAAGTAGCGAGGGAGACCGACGTGGCGGCGGGGTTGATGAACTCGCGGAGCTTGCCGGTCCTGGAGAACATGATGATGGAGACTTTGGCGTCGCAGAGGACGGTGAGCTCGTTGAACTTCTTGAAGAGCCCGTTGCGGCGCTTGGAGTAAGTCGACCACCTGCCGGTTCGTCGAGTTCTCGATCCTCTTGATCTGGATCTTCCCTCGGGCCATCGCCAGCTTGCCTTGAATCAAAGTTTCTTCTCAGTCTCAGTGCGCGTGTGGATACGGAGGAGGAGGAGGAGGACTGTGATGTGAGGAAGTGCGGCTTTTGGTGGTGGAAATGGAAATGGGAGGTGCGAGATGGTGAAAGCCAATTGGTTCTGTCTTTTCTGGAAGTGGAGGTTTTGATGTGAAATGAATTTCCAAGAAGAACGGCACGGAAGGATGGGGAGGAGGAGGGGACCACGACTTTCCGTCCATCTCTCTGTCAATTGGGACGTCCGTAAATGGAGTTGAATGTTGGTAAAAAAATGTGGTTGACGGGGGTTATTATGGCGTTAGGGTTTTGGTACTTTTGATACTGATAGTTCTCTTTCAGTTCAATTACCTAAATGCTCACTAAACTTTATGGGGCTCCAATTAGTCAGTCACGTACCGTTTTGATTTTCAACATATATGTTAACGAGGATTGGAATTGTAGCTTTATAGTCAATCCCTGCAATTTTATCAAGTTTTCCATTCAAAACTTCAAGGTCAGGCATGCCAACTCCGAAATATAGCTAAAGGTCTAAAACTCATTTTTCATCCTATTTGAACTAACTCGAGTTGGGCTTTTAACTAGTTTGAACTCCCCTCACTCTTAGTTCAGCTTGAGATTGGCTCTAGTTTTGAATCAATTTATGAAAGATCGTTCGAACTCAACTCAAATATTAATCATGAAAATCATTCGGTTCTACCTCAAAACGATGAATGCTCACAAATGGAGTCTTCCGAGCTAAGAATAAGTTCAACTTGAAATGTTCTTTTTGAAACGATGGCATTTAGATCCTCATTGCCAAAACACTCAATAAGCAACAATAATAACAACACTAAGAGAATAAACTTAAACGGTCAACAATTTCAAGCCACTCGTAAGTTCTAAACAAGTTTGTTTGTTAGTTGAAATCAATTAATGAACCATTGAGTGGAACCAACTCATGAGTTATATGAGATGGACATGCCCTAACTCAAACTTTGCTCATCTACCAGCGAGCTAACTCGTTAAGTAATGAGTTGAAAGTTGAAACTAACTTTTTCCAATTCTAAGACCTAGATACTTACCTAGTTTCGTTCATTTGCACCCTAATACCTGGTCCAAATTATCAAATCAATTTTTTCATCGGACTTCAAGTCATATTACCGAAGCCCACCGCAGTCCTTTTTGTTAGACGTTAAAGTTCAGTGATTAGTTTGTTCTGACCTAAAGTTTAGGGATCAATAGAGCCATTCTTGTTTTGACATTGAAGGGAAAGAATGGACGAGGGACTGGGGTTGAATTACACCTTTTTGGGAGAGAGTAGTTTTTGTTGAGGGATGAGCATCTTTGTTGACCTTTTCTGCAAAATTCTACTTCCTACAAACTTCCAAATCTCCGCTTATATACTCCATTAGACAAACGATCATAAGAACAAAACAACAGGAAAGGAAAATTATCCATTGTCTGAGCCGTATATACCAAGAGGCAAGATGCACGAAGTAATTAATTACTTTCATTTCTTATTTTGCATGAGTGTATGCGTACAATTAATGTTGTCATAACCGAACCGGAGCATGACCCGATAATGCGAACGGCTCGCACTTTAGTGGTCCAATCGGCAATAGACCGTTTAAAAACCGTTAGAGAACCGGTACCTAATAAACGTTATCAGTATAAATAGTGGACATTTCTTAATAAGAGCTCATCTCTTTCCTTTGAAATTGTGAAATGGAAATAAGGATTCAGTTTGAGAGGCCGACGTTTTTGGTTTATTTCAATTTTCTGCAATTTTTTTAATTAAATTTAATGACTGAATGGCAAAACCTGACGAGCGGCTCGATCGGCTCGAGCGGTTAACCGCCTCGGCCGCTCGCCAACCGCTACATAAAACCGGAGCGACTTTGAGACTATTCCGAGCCGTTTTGTGACCGGGTGGCAGTTTTACCGGTCGGGCCGAGCGGCTCGGCTCGGCTTTAATAACACTGGTACAATACACTACTAGCAATGGGCCCGGCCAGTTGGCCGGTTTCTTTTATGAATCGCGTTAATGCTAAATAGGTAGGAATGTCGGGGTCATTTGGATATTGTGTTTATGTAGAATAGAAGTAGCATGAGTTTTGTGTGTTTTGGTTGTTGACAAAAATATAGATTGCTGAAATTATCGAGATGTAAATTTCTTTGTAGCATAAATGTATACAAATTATTAAAGTACTTGCAACAATTTTAAAAATGAACATCATAGTATTCCGGGACATCCTAATCGACTCATCGAACATAATTAATTTACCAAAAAACAACGACTAACACTTTACCAAGTAATCGAAATCTACAATTATTTTGAATAATCTTTACCTTTTCTCATTGTTCGTGTCGTGCTCATCCTCATCCTTCCTTTTTGGTGATTCCATGATTTTAACCGGTGGATGTGGTCCATCGCTGGCACTATTATCATAAAAAAGGAATGATAATTACACTTGTTTTGGTTTGTTGAACATCAAACTCATAACACGCTTGCAAATATGGTGAGTAAATGTTTAAGAATTTCACCTTTGTCCAAAATTAATTTATTCTGGAATTCTTTGGTTCGCGAGTAGTAAGGTCACTCTTGAAGAGGTGTAATTAATTTTTCCTGCAAATTTAGCAGTTCTTTCATTAAATGTCGTTAGTTAGTGTCAATGTTTGATGAATGAAAATAATTTAATTATGATGCCTCCTTACCGTCATATGAAACGATGCATAAGGAAGTGATAACCAAGATGAGAGGTTGGTTGGCTGCATTTTCAAGGATTTAGTTTAGTTGGGTGACTATCTTACTAAAGATAATGACTTTGACAACCAATTCCCTATATTCACATTGAATATTAGAGTTGCGATTATAGTCAATAAAATACATGATATTTTAAATTGTGAATAAAAAGAGCACGGTAAGTGAAAAGTGCAGTGGGAGTATTGCATTGCAGTTCAAATAAACTTCATGAACCATATTCGAATGTGCTAATTTTGGTGTTTTGGATTTGCCTCTTATAATAATAAAGAAGTGCATATAATGCTCCTCATGCACGAAGCGACGGTAGTTTATTAGACATGACATTCTAAGAATAACATTGAAATAACAAACTTGCAACAACTTTTTATAGAACAGAAACAGGTTATCAGCAACCTATATCCATCACCAGAGAAAATTATTCATACAACACTTAAAAATCACACAGCTATACTATATATATATTGGTATTCAACACTATTGAAAGCAGTGATGACTTCAACTTCAGGAGGCAATGGCTTTACCCAGTGGCACTGATGACTCACAGAGTCAGAAAGGGAACTGCAGGGGATTCAATTACACAATCCTCCCAGCTGGAATTTAAGGAAATCTAAAATTATATGCACAATAGGCCTTCTTTCATAGGCTTCAAACACGATCCAACCATCAAGGGGTGTACATACCAAAACACAACAGTAAGTTTAAACAACATGGCTATGGCAAAAACAAAAATTAAGCAGTGTGGTACACATTTCTACAGAGTTAATTGATTTCTTTAATTTTCAAAACCTATACTTGCAAATAGCATTATTACAACACCATCACCTAGATAAACTAAGAAGATGTCACTCCTAAGCCCTAGCACAAACTCGCTGGTTACACTTACACCATGAGATTTTCAATTGCATAAATTAATAACTCATCAATTGAACTGATGACTCCGAGTGACTCTGATTAATAGAACTATCTCAAGTGAGTGTGCTGCTGCTGTTATCTTGGAGTGGTGGCTACAAAATCACCGACATTCAGGGCAACAATTGCCAAATCAGAAAGAGGGGCAACCATCACCAAATTAGAAAGAGGGTAACCTAATGAAGATAACTTACAGAGCAGGGCGATTGATTAATCTCTCGAACTGGGATGTGGAAAATTCGGTCGGCAGGGAGAGAGGTAGTGGACGCGAAAGACAGGAAGAGAGAGACAGGCACCAGGGCGATTGATTTTACGTGGCGGTGAGGTTCGGTCGGCCGACAGCGAGAGAGGAGGCGGACACAAAAGAAATGAAGAGAGTGACAGGCACCGGGGCGATTGCTTTTACGCGGCGGTGATGTTCAGTCGGGCCGGCAGCAAGAGAGAAAACGGCGAGAAAGAGAGAGAGGAAGTAGAGAGAGGTCGACGTGTTAGGCTTCGAGGGAGGGGGAAAAATTGATTGGCGGCCCAGTTTAGTGTCGCACAATTCCATTTTACAAAAATCTCCTCTCGTGGAACGCGCAGAGCGCAGGAAAAGGCAGGATAAAGGGGTTCTGACTAAGAACCTCCTTATAGTATTGTTAGGATTATGATCGTCTTAGTAAATTATTGGGCAATTTATATTTTTTACCCAAACCTTACCAAAATTCTTTTATTTTATCCAAACCTATAGAAATTCTATGTATTATCCAAACGTTAACTCATCGTCAACTTTTCCTTTAATATTGCTGACTCAACATCACAAATCTGAGTTGGCTTCTAACGTGCCGGTCAACATATCATTTTATATTTTAATTAAAAAAGGATAGAAAACAAATTAATAAAGTGAGTCGCCGTCCACAGCACCCTCCTCTCCTCCATTCAGTTTCTTCTCCATCATTGCCATGCTCTCGCACTGCAGAAATGTAGAAAAAACCCCAAATCAATTAGCTTCTATTTTTTACAATTTCTCGATGAAAATGTTGAATTGGGTAATTTGGGGGAAGGGTGGGACGAAGATGAACTTGGAAGGAGATGTGGTTGTCTTTCGGGTTTATTTCGCTGATCTTGGGCATGCTTTCTGGGTCTTCGGACTGAAGCAAATGGATTCCGATTCCGTAACCAAACAACCTGCAGGAAGAATAGAGACCCAAAATCGAATCAGAACCCTCTATTTTCCCTTCGTCAAAATTTCAAATTGGGGGAAAGAAGTTTTGCGTACCAGGCGCCGTCGAAGGAGCCAGGGTGGCGAATGGGGAAGAAGCAAGAACGTGTTGGTAGAAATCGAGGGATTTCTCGACGGATTGACAGACGATGGAGATGTGATTCAGCGACTTGAGCTGAGAGAGTTGTTCATTCCCATGCCCATTATAATTCTTTTCACTTTCCAATCTCGGAACTCTTAATCGAACAAGTGTGGTGAAAGAAGGGGGAATTGGCAAGGGGGAATTGCAGAAGGGAAGTGGGGAAAGAAGAGGGGGATTGATGGCAGAGATGGTGGTTCCAGACCCAGCAACCCTCTTCATGTTCGTCGACTGTTGGCCAGTATACTACTACTAACGTCTCTACTTCTCCCTGACTCTCTTCTTCTTGGCCGCTTCCGCCGTGACCGTGATGGACGCAACCCTCTGCTACTTCCCTCACGCGCCCCTTTTTCTGTCATTTTCAAGTTACAGATATAGATTTCAGACTTTCCTCCGCTCCTCGTCATCGAGTTTCGTCGCCACTAGCGGAAGAAAGAATTGTGAAGGCGCGATTTGCGAGATTCTCCCTCTGTCCGAAGAGGTTTCGAACGCCGGCGATGGAGGCAGAGACTCGATTATCTTTCTGTGCGGTGATTCAATGGAGAATGGCAACTCGATCAGCAATCCAGAGCTCACAGGCCTGGAAATCGAGTGGAGTTGTAGGGGGAACGGTGGAGTATAGTGGGGAGAGAAGGGCTTTTTTATTTAATGATTTTTTATTTTATTAATTTCTGATATGGACGCTGACGTGGACGCTGACATGGAGATCCGTTAGTAAAAAATTAATGGTAACAGAACGAATGCCCAGACTATGAACAGATACAATACATTTGGATAATAAATAGAATTTCTATAGGTTTGGGTAAAATAAAAGAATTTTGAAAATATTTGGGTAAAAAATAGACATTGCCCTAAATATTTAATTACAAATTCACCTATATAGACAAATATTTTTATAATTTTCATAAACCACTCGTTTATAAGATGAACAAATATTTTAGTTAAGATATAAACTGACTCGATAATACAAATTAAGATATAAATTCATTTACACTACAAACTGAATTTATCATAAAAAAATTTAATTTTCATTTCAAAACACTAATATTGTAAAGTATATGGATATAGTCAACCATATGATTCTCTATAACCATATTAAACACTCGTTACCTTCAAAATAAACACGCATGCAAGAACTGTAAGTATCAAGGTTGTAAACCCGCGGGTTGACCCGGACCCGATCGAGCTAGTAAGTCAAGGATTAACGGGTCACTCATTTTAGTCCGTTTTAGCTTTGAAATATGAAAATAGTCATTATATTGTACTTATTCTGATAAACTATATAAAATCTCTTCTAACATATAAGTAAGAACATATAACATTACACCATAATAACATGTCGTACTTAGATCCAACATATAGTAAAATTTCGCACACACTTATATAATATCAATATTAAAATTTTCAACTATGGATTCCAAAGATTGAGTTAGACGAAAAGAAAAATCGAAAAATAGGTGCATTTCGCAAACCAAAAACAAAAATGACACAATTTGACCTCTAACCTGATACCTTACAGCGGTCAACCCGGTGGATATGTTTGGCCCGTTTTGTCACCGGATTAGAGTCAAAATGGGTCCACCCACGGATCAACAACCTTGCTATGTATAGATTATAATTAAGTATCCTGTATCCCAATTTCAACTGTTGGTCATAAGACTAATAACTGCCACCCTCGAGATCAGCTAAATAGCTATAGCTAGGAGATGGGACGCGGGGCATGGAGCAATTTGCTAAAAAACCTTGGATTGATTTGCTTGTAACTGCATATTTCACGCGTCTCAACAACTGGCAGCCACGGGCCCGATTTAGCTAGGTTAGGGTTCTGGTTTAACTAGATTGGGGGGATCGAGCAGTCTCAAGAGGGTGTTCTTTCCTCCTAGGCAATCCGTCGAACGAATGATGTGCATTTCGGCCATCGCGTCATAATTGTGCGCAAACAGTGCGCTGCCACCCCTCTAACCTAACCCCCGCCCCAAGAAAGGAAGCGTGGACACGGTGGTTGCGCTCCTTGGCCCATCATTTAAATCATTGCGCTGGACACTACAGATGGGTAAATATAGTGGCATTCTAGCTAAGCTGATTCTCTCTGTCTGCAGGTTTTCTGAATGTGTTATCACTTCAGTCAACATATGTTTAACGTTGTTGATCCACGAAAGTAATGTCTTTTCTCAACATGGCTAGCAAAATTGTCCAATCCATGGGTTTCGGCCCTCTATTTCCCCTTTCATTTTGGCTGACCACACCTTGCCATATTGCCATTTTGACAATGTTGCGATTTGCCAAAATAAATAGTAGTAGATACATAAAGCTAACCTTTTTTGGGAGTCTGCTGATAGAGATTTTCAGTCAACTAAAAAAGATTGGTTCAGTTGACCAAATAATTAATTAGGTCAACCACGAGATTTGTTGATGGAGTTTCTAGTTAGAGATCTCCCTATCGACATCTTGACCTCAAAAAGTAACCCGTTGGTCAGAATGACATTGAATACAATGTATGTATGATGTGTATTTAAAATTTTTAAATCACTTGAAATGTCGAATTTCGTATGACATTAAGGTGACATCGAAATTATTTTTCATTTTTAAATTCTTATAACTTTTTATCAATGATGAACATTGTAAGCTTAATTGTTATAATGAAAGTTTTCAAACAGGTTTAAGTTGTTGAGCCGGTCAAGCAAGTAATTTGAAATTTAATGGTTTGATTGAGGTCCAACCTATTGAGCCGTTTTACACCTTTTCTAAATATATTTACATATAAGATAGAAATTTAGTGACTGAAATGGAATGTAATAACTTATATCTATTAAAAACTCAAATTCCATAAGAAAACATACTTATTCCAAGATCCACCCACCATCCTCTTGCCTCTCTCCCACTCCTCCTTCCCTCTTAGACACTTGGTTTTGTAGAGTCGGTTTTGGAACACGAATTTGGTTGGACCTAGTCCAACCAGCCACCCGGTAGAGGTGTAACAACCTTGGTTATAACACTCGTGAATAACCATTCATAACTTGTCAATTTAAAGATGTTGTCACTTTGAAAAGAAAATTGACATAACAATAAAAAAAAAGAGTTTGTCTGAAAAAGCGTAGCATAAATAGGAAACTCGTGATCATAACCTTTATTCAATATTTATTTCTTATACTTGAGAAACAATACATATATAACAGTATCTAAACCTTAAAGTATTATGCACAATACAATAACAAACTTAGTAAGAAAATAACATTTTCCATTCACAGTCTATGCAATGAAAAAATTATTTATCAACCAACATACTCTGAATTTAGTTGAAGTACAATCTTATTCACTCAACAAAAAAATTAAACTTATCTTGCGGTACCTACCTTGCTAATGCACATGACCACATCAATGCGTCCATGAAAACTCCAGCTCGACTTTCATGATTTGTCTTGTACTTCGGTTATTTCATATTAAACTAAGTAACTATAAATGATACATATGGTCAGTTATCCTATAAGATAAAAGATTTAAATAATTGAAATTATCTAGAAAAATTGGTATTCATAAATTGTGTTCTTTTAAACTCACTCATTTGTCCAATCATGCCATATTATCGAGAGAGTGAGGATTTAACAGTAAACCAAACTAAAATTTTCAAAAATCTGGTCACTTACAGTTTGCATAACAATATCGTTGCTTTAATAGTTCTAAAAATTAATACAAAGTTAAGAATTCTACATACACATTCAATACTGCAATTGAATATGTAATATTCCAATCAATGATATTTGAATTTCAATTTTAAAATTATCCTCCATTTATAATATAGACATAAATTAAATTTATTATTAAACTCAAATTAAAATAATCAAAATATGAAAATTCAAATATCAAATAACAAAGAAAGTACTTACGAGAAAGTTAGCGGGCTAGCTAACAGTAGTGGAAAAGTCGTATGATTTTTGGATTTCAGGTTTTCAGATTTTTTACTTAAAAAGATACAAAAGATTTTTTTTAGCGTAATTGGTAATGGTTGTTGTCATATTTTGGAACCATGGTTTGAATACCAAGATTGATGTATTTTTTTCTTGTGAATAAAAAATAAATAATAATTTTGAAGACACAATTACCCTTCATACTTTCGCTCTCATTGCAAGAAATTTGAAATGCTGAAAAACTGCCCCCAACTCGACTATAATATATTTGTAGATTATTCACGATGAAGTTGATTGATTAGGACTTAGAAACTATGCATCAGGAATGTAACTAAGAAGAATGATTGGAACAACAAATATCCATCTCGTTGGTATTTTGGATACTTATATAACCACTGTTGAAGGGAGCCTCCTTCTAAAGCTGTATTATCAAGGAAAACAACACCAACATACCATTTGGTATAAATGAATTCCATAAGTTTTGAGAAATTCATTATGAAATGAAACAATTTTGTGTTTGGTATTTGAAAGAATTCATTTCCAATTCTAAATTTTTAAATTTATGGAATTGGAACTAGTTATAGCAATTCTAAGGAATTGAGATGGAATTTCCAAATGAATTCCACAAGTATTTACTAATTATAATAAAATGACATAATTATCCTCTTTTATTAACTAAATTACTTATACATTAGTAAAAAATAATCATTATTATGATCACTAAAAAAAGCGCAAAACTAGGCCCAATTTGGAAGGTTTATATCACATATAACAGCTCTTAGTCTAAGTGGACAGTAATGGGAAAAGCCAACCAATATTTTGGTTTTTATATATACTAGGTGGCGATGTCGGGGGACGGAGATGGCCTATGGACATATATTATGTAGTCCGTTATGGTATTTTGTTAGTATTATTAGGCTAAAATTAATATTTTGTTAGCAGTTTTGTTAGTAATATTGACTTAGAAGAAATATAAAGCGGTCAACATCCAATTTGAAAATTTTGGCTAATAAATGATATTTACCTATACCCAAGACGACCCATTGATTATGGGTATGTAGGGTATGGGTGATGTATATATGGGTTTGGAAGTCTGTAGATAGGTTTGTGTAGGGTATGGATATTTACTTTCATAATCTAAATGTGGACGAGTTGGGTAT